TCAAAAAAAAAACACAGGCTGGTCTGAGTGCACTCAGTGGCGTTTACAGCTAACTGATCACAACCAGCCACAGTTACTTGTTCCTTCTTCACTCTCACTGTTTCACTTGACTAGCTTTAAAAAGTAAATTTTTTTTTTAAAGGAAAGCTTAATGGACATAACGAAAGTGGTACTTCAAAATTTATAGGTTTATGAAGAAACAGAAAAAAAGACAAAAGAGAAACACTGAAAATTAATAAGCATTAAGCTCCATTTAGAAAAAGAATCAGGCTGGGTGCGGTGGCTCACGCCTGTAGTCCCAGCACTTTGGGAGGCCGAGGTGTGCGGATCACCGGAGGTTGGGGGTTCAAGACCAGCCTGGCGAACGTGGTGAAACTCCTGTCTCTACTAAAAATACAAAAATTAGCTGGGCGCGGTGGCTCACACCTGTAATCCCAGCATTTTGGGAGGCCAGGATGGGCAGATCATGAGGTCAAGAGTTTGAGACCAGCCTGACGGACATAGTGAAACCCCATCTCTACTGAAAATACAAAAATTAGCTGGGTGTGGTGTGGGTGCCTGTAATCCCAGCTACTCAGGAGGCTGAGGCAGGGGAATCGTTTGAACCCAGGAGGCGGAGGTTGCAGTGAGCCGAGATCGTGCCACAGTACTCCAGCCTAGGCAACAGAGCGAGACTCCATCTCAAAAAAAAAAAAAAAAAAAAAGAAAAATAATCATAAAAACTCAAAAAAGTAAAGAAATAAACATAAGAACAGAATAAAATAGAAAGCAGAGATGATCAAAAAATGAAAAGCTAATTCTTTAGAAATAGATTTGCATTCCTAGAAAAATAAAACTTAAATAAGATTCAAGATAGAATGGAACCTAAATATACCTATAGATATTCAATAACTAGATGCCATAAAAACTTTACTCCCTGCAAATACTGTGTATTCAAGGATGCCTGCCTTACACAAGCTGGTCTGGAGTCTGGGAGAGGGACTGATCTGGAGAGGGGAAGCTGGGTGTGGACTTGCAGATGGAGGCTGCTGTGCTGACCTGGCACACAGTGGGAGCACTGCCATGCATCAGGGCTGTGCCAGGGGCTTGGACACTTCAGTGAACCAAACCGGCAAAGGTCTCTCTCCACTGGGTGCCTACATTTTGGCAGGGAAAGAAAGACAGTAAAGCACAAATAAGTGAGTCAGAGTATGCTAGAAGGGGCCTCAGAAGGAAGGCAGGGACCAGAGTGAGGCAGTGGAGCAGTGTGGGTCCAGGCAGGCCCACTTGGGAGAGGAAGGTGGAGGGAATGGCCTGGGAGCAGAGGGTCGTCTCCCCTGACTGAGGTGTGGAAGCCAAGGGAGGTGAAGGTTCTGGGGAAGGTAGATGGGACAGGACAGACACGTGCCTGTGGGGTTAGCAGCACGGGGTGCTGGTGTTGCCTTCGGTGATCTTTCCAGGGAAGTGGTCGCCCATGGTTTGTGGGCAGAGCAAGACGGAGGGTAGGGAGTGAGTGAGAGGGGCCGGGGGAGCCATACTGAGGGGTGGGGAGGGGACAGCTCTGAGTGCAGCTGAAGTGAGGCCAACAGCTCTGATAAGAGAGAAGGCAGCGGGGGGCAAACCCAGGCCCACCTGAGGTCCCGACGGTGGGAGGGGGTGTGAGCCCCCTTGCTGGAGAGTGTATTAAGACAGAAGGGCTGAGGTTTGGGAGGTGTCACAGTAAGTGCTGAGGCAGGGAGGGCCCTTGCAGTGGCCTCAGCCTGGGGGTGGCAGCGAGGCAGTGGGCTGGGGTCCATCCAGGGCTTGGTTTGCCCCCCACCCGTGTCCAGCACTATTCTGGGTGCTTTGCCCACATGAGCTCTCCCAGGCCTTGTGAGGCCTATTTGTGTCTAAATGTGTGTGGGGGCAGGTGGGGAAGAAGTGGGGATGGTGAGAAGGACAGATCTTTCCAGAATTTTGGCCGTTGGAAGGAAAGGAAAGCCTAGGGGCCATGGTGTCCTGTAAATCCCCACCTTGCAGGTCAGAGACAGGAGATAAGAGGGGGTAGGCCTGGGCCCAGGGTGGCCCTGCCTGGCAGGTGGGGTCTGGTGGGCCTGAGGGAGGGTCCTCAGGAAGCTTGGGGAGGCCGTGGGGAACGTTGGGATTATTCTCAACAAAATAAGGGGCAAAGACACCCCGTGTCCCTTGGCTTCCTCTCCAGGAACCCACCCGGAGGACGTCATGTGTGTGAGTGCTTGTGGGTATTGTTATTTTTGCTGTTTGCCGGGGTGGCGGTGGAGCTGGGGAGTGACTCAGGCTTGGACTCTGTTCACGATGTGAGCATCACGCGTGCCAGGCACTGTGCAGAACCCAGGCTGAGGGAGGCACGGGCAGGGGCTTCAGTGTTGCCCTGGGCAGTGGGTCTTTGACCCAGCGGAGTCTGGGGACCATCTGTGGTCTAGCATCTGTCTGTGGGCTGCTGGTTGGTGAAGATGTCAGATTTTCTCTTGAAAGGCTCAGTGGCCACAGCCCCAGTGCTGGCCTGGGTGGCTGGATTCACCTGGGCTGGTGGGTTGGCAGGAGGCGGCTGGTGGGGCCCAGAGGTCCAGTCTAAGGGTTGGGGGTTGTAAGGTCTCTGGGTCCATCCAGCCAAGGGCAGGCTTGCAGGGAGAGCCCAAGGGAGAGGGAGGAGGCCCAGGGCTGTGGAAGACCTGGCTGTGGAAAGTCATCACTGGTGGACTCAGAGGCCCCATCCACCACCTTGTGCTGGCCACAGTGGGATGAAGGGCCGGCACCTGGGAGCAAAGGCAGGTAGAGGTGGTGGTGTGAGGGATGGCAAGGAGGGTTAGGGTTAGGGCTGAAGGAGGGGTTGGGAGGGAGTTGGGGGCCTGGGTGACCGGGGTGGGAGAGACACGGGCAGGAAGACGGTGGAGACACGAGGTGGGCCAGGAAGCACTAGTTTCCTCTCTCCAGGGCTGGGCCACAGGAAATCCAGCCCTCGTGCCTTCCAAGGTGCTTCCTGCAGATAAGGGAGCCTCCAGGGCCCCTTCCTGCTCCCTGCTCCCGGGACCCCCACCCCTCCCATCCTGCCCCTTCCCCTGGGAGACCTTCAGCTGCACCACTCAGGCCAGGCCAGTGGCCTTGGGAGGGGCCTGGACAGGGGGGTGGAAGGTCTGTGATGCTGGGACCACAGTTCCTGGGCAGGGAGCAACCGTCCAGGAGTGAGAACGCAGGAGTGACCCACACACCGCACTGGAGGCTCCGCTCTGCTGGGTCAGTGGTGTCCTGGGTAGGCGGGAGGAGCAAGCCAGGCTGGTCCCAGGGAAGAGAGGTCCTGCTCTGGGGTTGACCAGAGGCTGTTTTGAGGGGAGAGGGCTCATCAGAAACACTCTATATGGGGTCAGGGGTGCTCTGGGGTGAGCAGGCGGTGGAGGTGGATCTGTGGGGCAGCGGGGGCTGTTCTTGGAGGGAGTGTCACGCTCTGTTCGGTGTGGGTCAGGGTGTTTAGGATGGTCCAGGTTGTGGCGGGTGGGGGAGGGTAGGGAGGTTTTTCTACGTGTATAGGGGCCGGAGCAGTTCCAGGTTATTCCTGGGAGGCTCAGGCGAAATCCGTTTTGTGGGTGATCTGGAGCTGCTGTTGGGGAGGCTGGGGGTTAGAGGCTGTTTTCCTCCTTAGGCAGAAGGGTTCCCCCAGCCAGGCTCTTCTGTGAACGTTCTCAAGCTCTGCCCTCAGGGGGCCAGCGGCTTCTCTACGAGGATCTGGGGCTGCTCGGGGGCGGGAGTGGGGGGTGGGGAACGCCAGGCAGAGCGGGTTGGGAGAGTTCTGTAGGAGTTGGAGCTATTTCGACTTAGGGGCTGCTCTTGGGGGCACAGGGGCTCGCCGTGCTGGACAGCTCCGAGAGGCCGCTCAGGGCTGGGGGGCCTGGTGCGCCCCGATGGGGCGGCGGTGCTGAGCTAGTTTCTTTACTGAGCTCCCCCCTCCTCCGCCCACTCATCACCCCCCCCGCGTTGCCACGACAACGCGTAAAACTAAAATTCACTTCCCAGTCGCAGGTGGAGACTAGTAGCGCCCCCTCCCCTAGGCCCTTCCCCGTAGGTCGCGCCCCCATCCCGTCGTCGCTAAGGTGACGGGGAGGGGGCGACAGGCGTTGGATCCGGACCGGCCAGGGGGCCTTCGGGGGAAGTCCGGAGCGAACTCCCCAAACTAGGCTGGGGTGGGGGAGCCGCGCTGAACACGGCAGGGCGTGGTCGAAAGGGTTAATTCGGAGGGCCTCTCGCCACGGCGGTGGGAAGGCCCTGGACCCTCCCCGGTCTGGAGGTCCCCGTCGTCCAACCCCCAGGCCTGGGGCAGGGGTGGTCCCCGCCATCTCCTCCGGGCCTGGAGCTGGGGGTCTGTGGAGTTGGGGGGAGAAGTCGCCACCTCCGGAAATTAATTGTTTTTCTTTCCCCTTCTCGCCCTACCTTGGTCTTCGTGCCCCAACGCGGCCCCCACCCCAGCTCCGGGACCCCTTCCTCCGCCGCACCATCCCCGGTGGTCCGCGGATGCCCGCCCGCTGCGGAAGGGCGGCGCGGCCCTTGCTGCTCAGCCACTCCCCCCCCACCGAGGCCTAGGACTCCCCCCCACCCCGGCACAGCCCCCCAGGCCCCCCGCCCTGTGGCTTGGCCCCCGCCCTCCGCAGACACCTCCCACCCCCACCTGGGACCCCGCAAGTAACCCCCCCACACTGGCCCTGAGCCCTCCCGGCCCCCGCCTCCGGCGCAGCCCCCTCGCCACCCCCGCTTCCCTCCCGTCTCAGGCCCCCTCCCCCCGCCGCCCCCGCCCCCGGGGAAGGCAGGCGCCGAGCTGAGCCGGGGCCGATGCAGCTGAGCCGCGCCGCCGCCGCCGCCGCCGCCGCCCCTGCGGAGCCCCCGGAGCCGCTGTCCCCCGCGCCGGCCCCGGCCCCGGCCCCCCCCGGCCCCCTCCCGCGCAGCGCGGCCGACGGGGCTCCGGCGGGGGGGAAGGGGGGGCCGGGGCGCCGCGCGGAGTCCCCGGGCGCTCCGTTCCCCGGCGCGAGCGGCCCCGGCCCGGGCCCCGGCGCGGGGATGGACGGCCCCGGGGCCAGCGCTGTGGTCGTGCGCGTCGGCATCCCGGACCTGCAGCAGACGGTGAGCCCCGCCGCCCTGGGCCCGGCCGTGCCCCTGCGCTCCCCGCCCGGGATTCCCCCACCCCCGCCGGGCGCGCCCAGCGCCTGGGACCCCCGGCCCACGGCTACTCACCCCTCCCCCGCCGCCTCCGCCGGGACCCTCCCCATCGCCAGGGCGGGGCCCCGGGAAAGCCCGGCCCCTGGGGCGGGGCTTCGACCGCGGTTCGCGGAGGCGCGGGGTCCCGGGCGCCGGCTCCCGAGCCCCGGACTCCTTCGGCGGGGGCCCGGGGCTCGGCACCCCGCGTGGGGCCAGCGGGGCGGGTCCTCGCTCCCCGGGCCTGAGCTCACAAGCCCGCTCCGCTGCAGAAGTGCCTGCGCCTGGACCCGGCCGCGCCCGTGTGGGCCGCCAAGCAACGCGTGCTCTGCGCCCTCAACCACAGCCTCCAGGACGCGCTCAACTATGGGCTTTTCCAGCCGCCCTCCCGGGGCCGCGCCGGCAAGTTCCTGGATGAGGAGCGGCTCCTGCAGGATTACCCGCCCAACCTGGACACGCCCCTGCCCTACCTGGAGGTAAGTGGCCGGCGAGGGGTGAGCTGAAGAGCGCGCCGGGTGGACCACCAAGCTCCGTGGCGGGACCAGTGAAGGGCACGGCAGTGGGGAACACAAGTGGGAGGAGTGAGGGTGGAGGCAGTGTGTGCGTGTGTGTGTGTGTGGGGGTGCTGTGTGCAGAGTGCAGTGAGTGTGTACAGTGTGCAGCGAGCAGGCACACTGTGTGCAATGAGTAGGCACAGTGTGTGCAGCGAGTGGGCACAGTGCATTTAGCGGGCACAGTGTGTACAGTGAGTGGGCACAGTGTGTGCAGTTTGCAGGCTGTATGCCTAGTAAGGATGTACAGTATGGGCAGTGTGCAGTGTGTGCAGTGAGCGGGCAAGGTGTGCACAGTATGTACAGTGTAGCAGGTACAGTGTGTGCAAGTGGGCACAGTGTATGCAGTGAGCTGGCAGTATGAGCAGTGTGCAGGCAGTGTGAGCAGTGTGCAGTGAGCAGGCACAGTGTGTGCAGCGAGTGGGCACAGTGTGCAGTGAGCAGGCAGTGTGCCCAGTAAGGATGTACAGTATGGGCAGTGTGCAGTGTGTGCAGCGAGCAGGCAAGGCATTCATAGTATGTACAGTGTGAGCAGTGTGCAGTGTGTGCAGTGTGTGCAGTGAAGCAGGCACAGTGTATGCAGCGAGTGGGCACAGTGTGTGCAGTGAGCTGGCAGTGTGAGCAGGAAAGACGTACAGTGTGTGCAGCAAGCAGGCAGTTTGTGCAGCGAGTGGGCACAGTGTGTGTAGTGAGTAGGCACAGTGTGTGCAGTGAGCAGGTAGTGTGCTCAGAAAGGATGTACAGTATGGGCAGTGTGCAGTGTGTGCAGTGAGCAGGCAAGGTGCGCACAGTATGTACAGTGTGAGCAGTGTGCAGTGTGTGCAGTGAGTGTATGTAGTGAGCAGGCAGTGTGTGCAGTTAGCAGGCACAGTGTGTGCAGTGGGTGGGCAGTGTGCACAGCATGTACAGCGTGAGTGGTGTGTGCTGTGTGCCGTGAGCCTGTGTAGTGAGTGGGCACAGCGCAGTGGGTGTGCACAAAGTATGCAATGAGCATGTACAGTGTGTGCAGTGAGCACATGCAGTGTGCAGTGCGCAGTGTGTGCAGTGCGTGTGTGCACTGCATGCAATGAGCAGTGCGTACAGCATTGCAGTGTAGGGCAGTGAGTATAGAGTGAGTGGGGTTGTGATTGTGGTAAGCAGGATGTGCAGTATACAGTGAGCAGTGTGCACAGTGTGTGCAGTGTGGGCTGTGTGCAGCACATACAGAGTGTGTGGTGTGTGTAGTTTTGAACAGTATGTGCACTGAGCAGCATGGGTGGTGTGGATGCTGAGCAGTGTTCTCCAGGGAGGAGTGTGAGCAGGAGTGAGTGCGAGGGGTGTGTGGTGTGAGCAGGGCTATCTGTGTGCACATTCGTTCCTTTCTCCAGTTGTGAAGTCTTGTGAAGGCCAACCTAAGTCCCCTCCTTTGCTCACCCATGCATGGTGTGAAGATGTATTGAGTGCCCTGCTAAGCATGGGGACACAAACTGGGTCAGTCCTGTGGAAGGTCTTGAAGTTTGGCAGGGTGGAGGGGGGTGCCCAGCTGCAATGGGCATTGAATAAGGATCTTGTGAGCTGAGCTCAAAATTGGGCAGGCCTCCGTGGTGGCACAGGAAAGTGGGGTCACTTCTTCCTGGAGAGTGTAGGGGGACGTCTAGGAAGGTAAGCCTGGAATCAGGCCTTCAGAGAGGAGTGGGATTTTGCAGAGAATCCTGGGGTTGGGAAGGAGACAGGACAGTGCAGGCTGCGGGCTGCTAGGCGTGTGCCTTCCATTGCGCTGCATCATGCCTGAGTGTGGTGGGTGCATGGCAGCTGTTAGCTCTGTCCACCGTGGTAGTATGTGCACCTGGATTTGTGTGGCATTGGGTTGTGCTGCACTGATGGTGTGTACAGGAGGGCAGTAAGGGGTGCGGTGTAGCCAGCATGAGCGGGACGGGGTTTGTGCATGGACTCCCTTGCTCAGCCGGGGTGGGGCCATTTTCTCTACCTTTTCTTTATCTGAGCAGTTTCGATACAAGCGGCGAGTTTATGCCCAGAACCTCATTGATGATAAGCAGTTTGCAAAGCTTCACACAAAGGTAAAGGATCATGGGGAGGGGGCTCCTGAGGTTCCCTCTTGCCTCCCTGTGCCTGCTGTCCCCCACCCCAGCTTGGGGCTGACCACAGTCCCCCAGCTTCAGCTCAGTCTATGTCCCTATCATCAGGGGCCCAGAGCCGGTACTGGGTGTGGCTGGAGGGCTGGGCACAGATTCCCGGCCCCATCGCTGGGGAACAGGTGGTACAGTGATGTGTTCCAGGTAGATCAGACTCTTGCTGACCCCCCTGGCTTAGGGGTTGGAGTGTCCTGTGAGAAGCTGGGTGGGAGAGGGAATGGACAAGCATCTGATATGATGGCTGTTGGGACAGGGCACCCAGCATTGAGTGGTCAGCCAGTGCTGGGCATTTGTAATTAGACCTCTCGTTAATCCTCTTCCAGAGGGACTATTATAACCCTATTTCACAGATGGGGACACAGAGTGCCCGACTGGGTAGACAGTGAAGCTGGGGCTGAACCCAGATCTGTCTGATTCCAGGCCCTGTGCCCAAGCACACCTGTGAGGGGTCTTTACTGCTGGGGGGTGCCACCCCTAACTGGGCCTGACCCCAAATGCTCTTGAGGGGGGCACCTTACTATTTTTCTTTACCTTACTATTTACCTCTGAATGTCAGAGGGGCAGGGTGGGTGCCACAGTCCCTCCCCAGGGGTTCCCACCCCCGCTCACAGGCCAGCAGGCACTTGCTTGCTGGATACTTTATGGGCAGTCTCTGGAGCCCAGGAGAGGGGTCAGAACTGTCAGCCCTGTGCCCTAATGGTCCCGTCAGTGACTTTGGAACTTCAGGCTTCTGTGCCAGACTTTGCTGCTGCCCCAGGGCAGGCGGTGGTCAATGGCTTTAGCACTATAGCTGGGCAGAGTCCACTGTGGAAGGGTCCCCCCGTCCCGCCACTGGCCCTTACTTGACCTTGTCAACCTGGGTTCCTCCCCCATGGCCACCTCTCCCTCCAGATCTCTCTTCAGTGACCAACAAGATATGAGTGACTCACTCTGCAGTAGGTCTCGTTAGTTTTTAGAATGAGCCTAAACTTCTTACATAGCCCCGTGTTTCTGCCTGCCTGAGCTCCAGCGGCATTTCCCTCACCCTGGTAGTGAGCACTTCCTCCTCTTTCACTGCCTGGCCCTCCTGAGGAGGTTGCCTCCCAAGGCAGGGGTCCCTCTGGCACCCTCCCCTATTTCTGATGTACATTGGGGGTTTATGGAAAGGCCCAGGCCTTTGGCCAGGGCACCTTGCCTTGTGTGTGTGGCGTCCGTAGTGCCGGCTGGGGAAGTCAGGTCTTGTGGGGCGAGTGAATAAATGGGGTGAATGAGTACAAGGCCATCAGTCATGTCACAGGAGGGGTCCCTGGGGTGGGGGTCTGCCGTGGGGTGAGCTGGAGAGGAAGATGCACCGGAGAAGGAGCAGATCGTCTCAGGGTGCTGAGGATCCAGGACTGCTGTGGGGCTGGTTCCTGCCTGGGTGGACCTCGGCTCTTCTAGGCTAGGCAGGTTGGGGCGGCAGAGCCAGGGCAGTGACTGAGCCTGGAGTAGGGGACTTGCTTGGGGCTCGACCAGGGTGACCTGGCCTTGGTGAGGGGCTACTTGGGTGCAAGCTGACAGTCGTGACCGGTTTGGCTATCAGGATGCAAGGAAGACTTTTGAGCTGTGCGTGGGCCCACCCAAGTGGGGATTGGGGCCGTGGTGGGAGTGCAGGGCTGTGGGTGACAATTGCAAAGTCAGGTGACAGGTCAGATTGGTAGGGATGTGGCAGGGGACGCCTGAAGGTGGCCTGAGGCTTGCAGGAGGAAGGCGGGTAATGTTCAGATGGTAGAGACCTTGGTGCCAGGCTGACTGATGGCCGGTGTTCCAGGCGAACCTGAAGAAGTTCATGGACTATGTCCAGCTGCATAGCACGGACAAGGTGGCCCGCCTGCTGGACAAGGGGCTGGACCCCAACTTCCATGACCCTGACTCAGGAGGTGAGCAGAGCAGGGGAGGGGCATGGCCTTTGAGCAGCTGGGAGCCTGACCCTTATCTGTCTCTGAACCCAGAGTGCCCCCTGAGCCTCGCAGCCCAGCTGGACAATGCCACGGACCTGCTGAAGGTGCTGAAGAATGGCGGTGCCCACCTGGACTTCCGCACTCGCGATGGGCTCACTGCCGTGCACTGTGCCACGCGCCAGCGGAATGCGGCAGCACTGACGGTCAGTGAGGGCTGGGCCTGGCCTGGTGATGGGGCTGGGGGCCGCTGTGCCTGGTGTGGATACTGAGGCTACTCACCCTCAGACCCTGCTGGACCTGGGGGCTTCGCCTGACTACAAGGACAGCCGCGGCTTGACACCCCTCTACCACAGCGCCCTGGGGGGTGGGGACGCCCTCTGCTGTGAGCTGCTTCTCCACGACCACGCTCAGCTGGGGACCACCGACGAGAATGGCTGGCAGGAGATCCACCAGGTGTGCAGGGAGCTGAGGTGGGGTCCCGGCCTGTGTGTGCTGGGTGTGGGGTCCTGACTCTGTCTGTAGGGGTGGGGGCCCTAGCCTCTGCCCAGGGACCCTACAGCACCTTGCTCCCCGCACAGGCCTGCCGCTTTGGGCACGTGCAGCACCTGGAGCACCTGCTGTTCTACGGGGCCAACATGGGGGCCCAGAATGCCTCGGGGAACACAGCCCTGCACATCTGTGCCCTCTACAACCAGGTGCGACTGTGTGTGCTGCACATGCCTGCACCAGCAAGTGTGGATATACTGGCCTGTTCTGGGTCATAGGCTTCACATGTGTGCACGTGTGTTCTGAATGACCAGGTATGAATTGGGTACATCTAGGCCCTGTGGGCCAGGTGAGACCTGAGCGTGTATACCTACCTGCTTGTCCCTGTGCCACTCAGTATACATGGAACAAATAGGTGTGAGTCCGTGTGTGTGAGCCCGTGCCCTGCGCACGCCATGTGTGCATTCCTGCGTGCACATGTGCTGTCGTGCTCCGATGGTCTCTCCAGCCACCCAGCTGTGATCCCCTCTTCTCCCCAACAGGAGAGCTGTGCTCGTGTCCTGCTTTTCCGTGGGGCCAACAGGGATGTCCGCAACTACAACAGCCAGACAGCCTTCCAGGTACACTGGGGGTTTACAGGAGTGTCTCTGTGTCCGTGTGACCTGACTTCTCTGAATGTTGGTTCTTCCCTGGAAGGCCCTGAGGGAGCACCTCCCCCAGGACTGCCCACAAGGAGGTGTGGGGGGACGAGCCCAGCACGTGAGGAGGTGTTTGGTGCTGATGTTCCCTTCATCCCCCTGCCACGGAAAGAGGAGGGTCAGAAGGGCTCCGGGGCGGGGGACAGGGAGGATGAGAAGACTGGGGTGACAGGTGTGGGTCTGACCCCCCGCCCAGAGACCAGCAGGGGTGCAGAAGCCAAACTGGAGAAGGGGTGTGGTCCCAGCCGCTGATGTAATTCCGGGTCGGTTGGCACTGATGACCAGGTGGACGTGGTCTCTGTGACTTGGAGTTTGTTGGGGAGTCAGGGGAATATCGTGGGGGTTTGCAGACCAGGAATGGAGACAGAACTCTATTTTTAGTAGGAGTGAGGTGTGGGAAGAGTGGTCAGGCTGCTGAGTTGTGTGGTCACAGAAGGTGGAGGCAGCAGTGGGCTGCCAGAGGGCTTTGGGCACATCGGGAAGCAGATACGCCAGGGCCTGTTGGATGACTGGGTGCAGGGTCACAGGAAGGGGAGGATGAGCTTAGCAGCTTGGGCAGCGATGGGGCCTTGGCTGAGACGGGAAACCTGGCTGCATGTTGGGACAGACCAGTGTGCCCGTTTGCTTGGGACTGCTGGTTTTAGCTCTGAAGTTCTCCTGTCCAGGTAGCCCCTCAGTCCCAGGCAAACAGATGGCGGGTCACTCCAGTTATGAGGCACGCCTGTGGCATTCCAGTTACAGAGAGGAGTGTGTGTCAGTAGAGAAGAGGAATGGGCTGGGGTCTCTGGGGCCCCCAACCAAGGAAGACTCCACACAGGAGCTCGAGAAGGAGCAGCTGGGGCTGGCTGGGGAGGCAAAGCTGGTGCTGCTCAGCCCTCTCCCTGCTCCTCCACGCCTTGACCCCCCTTTCCCTCAGGTGGCCATCATCGCAGGGAACTTCGAGCTTGCAGAGGTCATCAAGACCCACAAAGACTCGGATGTTGGTGAGTTCTGCCCACCTGGGCGGCCCTGTTGAATGTAGATTCGTGTGGTTTTCTGAGGCCTAGCAGACGTGGGGGGTCAGTGGTGGCATAACAAAGGGGCCCCTTACCCCACATCTGCAGTGTGTGGCCAGTGGTCTCTGAGTGGCCACTGCGGGCATGAGGAATGGGCCACGGGGCCTGTGTTGAGTGAACGTTGCTTTTGGTCTGGGAGAAGAGCATGGTGAGGTTTGGGCTGTGAGCCGGGGCTAGCATTCAGCTTAGGGGACAGCGTAGGTTGAGAGTGCGGTTGAAGTTAGGGTCAGAGTCCCTGCTTCCCGTTAAATCCTGGGAAGGGCCACAGAAGACAGGGGGCTGGTAGACCTCACTTCACCCTGGAGCAAGTGTGAGTCTAGGTGGTCCGTAGCAAGCTCTCAACATGAAAACATCACATAAACGACACATAAGGAAAACCAAACAGTGATGGGAAAGCAGAATGGGGCTGGGAATAGTGCCAGAGTCGTCCTCAGGGCAAGGCGCTCTGAGCCCCCTGCTGGTGTGTGCCTCGTGTGTGCGTGACTCACGGTCCGGGAAGGAAAACCAGGACATACACACGTGGCCTCAGCCAGGACACCCGAGCCTCTGGGAGGTCTCTGGTGGGTGTGGTGCCAGGCTGGGACCGTCCTGTGTGGCTGCTGGAGAGGCCGGGCTCCCCTGTGGGAGAGTTGCTGCTGGCCAGGCTGGGACCGTCCTGTTGAGGACCTTCTAGCCGCCTGGCTGCACAGGAGCTCCCTTGCTGATCCCTCCGTGTCCTGCGTGGTCCAGGCTTTTCTGCCTGTGCCTCTCTCTGGAACATGGACTCCCAGGACCCCCTTCCTGCCATGAGTGTTTACTTGTGGGTATCCCCATTTTTTGTTTTTGTTTTAATTTGAAGTGACAGTGGGCAGCAAACATTTGGAGCAGGTGTTAGGGTTGGAATCTCACTTGGTTCTAGTGTGAGGTTATGGTCAGGGCTGGAGTTGAATTTTGGACTGGGGTTAAGATTAAGGTCGGTTTCATGTTTAACAGCCCTTCTTCTGTAGCGTTCCCCCTGAACATCCCCCTGTAAGGCTTGGTTATGAGCCCCTCCACCCCAGGCTGTGTTAGTTGAACCATCTGAGGCTGTGGCAGACCCTCAGTGAGGGCCACAGCTGCTCTCAAGGCCACTGCAGGGAAGTGTGTGTTGAGTAAGTAACTGGGCCAGTGGAATGGGTAGGGGCGGAGTCCAGGGTCAGGTCAGGGAGAACTGTGGTAAGGTTTGGGGTTTGCGTAAGGGGCAACAGATACTTCTGGTTTGGGCTGGTGCTTTGGATGTGGCCCTAAGTGTTGGAGGGCCCTGGTTTGTGCATGTGTGGGGCCTCCTCTTCTACTCGTAATTGTCTTAACCGTGGGAAAGCTGTCTAGGAGCTCTGTGCCTCAGTTTCTCTTAAGTGAAACATGGTCTCTTACAGTCATTTGCATCCCCTTCCCCCTGTGGCCTCCTGTGGCATTTGATCCTGGGTGGGGCTGGACTGTGGCCGGTGGCCTTGGTCTAGTTGCTTGGAGGGAGGGTGGGAAGGCCCCATCTGCCCCTCGTCTGTGTGCTGTGGACAGATACCCCAGGGCTCTTGGGGTCACCATGGTTGTGAGTTACTGGCCATCCAACCCAGGTGTGCTTCCTTGGTTGGGGTTAGACACACGTCCCTGAGTGGTAAGGAGCAGGCGTCTGTGTCAGTTCATCCTGATGTGGTCATCAGCTCTGTGGGCCAACACCACCCTGACCCGCTCAGGTGTCGTACAGACACTAGGGCACCACCCTGACCCGCTCAGGTGTCACACAGACACTAGGGCACCACCCTGACCCGCTCAGGTGTCGTACAGACACTAGGGCACCACCCTGACCCGCTCAGGTGTCACACAGACACTAGGACACCACCCTGACCCGCTCAGGTGTCACACAGACACTAGGGCACCACCCTGACCCGCTCAGGGGTCACACAGACACTAGGGCACCACCCTGACCCGCTCGTGTCACACAGACACTAGGTGACGCCGCCAGGTTGCCTTGAGTACAGGTAGCATATTTGTCAGGATATAATACAAGCCCCTTATCTCAATTTGCCCTCTCAACAATCTCCCAAGAAGTGATTATTAGACTGTTTTACAGAGAAGGAAACTGAGGCACAGAGGGTTTACTTCAGACGTGATTGATTCAGGGTCTGCCCTTGTCACTCTCATGCCCTCTGTACACATTTGCTCCAAGGACATGACAGTCATGACTTGCGACATCCTATCCCCACTGGGGTCCCAGAGTGGGGCCTGTACACGTAAGAGGAACTGGAAGGAGGTGCCACTTTCTCTGGTGGGAAGGTGCCACCCGGTGGGATCTGGTAGACCGGGACCTGTGTCACCCTTCAGGGGACAGGATAACTTGCTGCCTCTTGACAGCCCTGCTTGCCCCGTCTAGACTGACAGGCCTGGGGGGCGGAGTTGGTATCCCACAGTGCTTTTGATGAGTACTTGGGGAACTGCTTCTCCAGGGTGGTGTCATGCCCATGAGAACACACCTGTGCCTGGGAGTGTGTGCCTGAGAGAGGGTAAGAGACAGTGTGGACCCAAAGAGTGGCCTGACGTGACAGAGGCAAGGAAGCAGAGGTGACCACTTCTAGGCCAGAATGATTCAGTAGCATTTTGTATATTCACAGTGTTGTGCAGCCAATTCTGTTGAATTCCAAAACATTTTCATCACCACAAAATAAGACCTTGAACACATTAAGCAATAATTCTGCATTAATTACCCTCTCCCTCCAACTCTGTCAGCCATTAACGCACTTTCGTCTCTGTGGACTATAGATTTACCTATTCTTGATATTTCATGTCAATGGAATCATATAATATGTGACACGTAGTGTCTGGCTGCTTTTACTCAACATGTTTTTGAGCTTCACCTTGTAGGATATATCACTACTTCATTCCTTCTTATGGCTGAATAATATTTCACTGTTGGTATAAATGACATTTTGTTTATGCATTCATCTGTCAATGGAGATGTGGGTTGTGTCTACCTTTTGACTATTTTGAATATGGCTGCTGTCAACATGTGTGTACATGTACTTGTTTGAATACCTATTTTCAATCTCTTAGGTATATACCTAGGAATGGAATTTTGGAATCATATGATAATTCTATGTTTAACTTCTTGAGGAATTGCCAAACTGTTTTCCACCATTTTGCATTCCCACCAGTGATGTAAGAGGCTTCCAATTTGTTCACATCTTCAACAGTTGTTACTATCCTTTTTTTTTTTTTTGACTATAGCCATCCTAGTAAGTGTGAAATGGTATTTCATTGTGGTTTTGACTTGTATTTCCCTAGTGACTAATGATGTTCTGCATCTTTTCTTTTTTTTTTTTTTTTTTGAAATGGAGTCTCGCTCTGTCGCCCAGGCTGGAGTGCAGTGGCCGGATCTCAGCTCACTGCAACCTCCGCCTCCCGGGTTCCCGCCATTCTCCTGCCTCAGCCTCCCGAGTAGCTGGGACTACAGGTGCCCGCCACCTCGCCCGGCTAGTTTTTCTGTATTTTTTAGTAGAGACAGGGTTTCACTGTGTTAGCCAGGATGGTCTCGATCTCCTGACCTCGTGATTCGCCCGTCTCGGCCTCCCAAAGTGCTGGGATTACAGGCTTGAGCCACCGCGCCCGGCCTCTGCATCTTTTCATGTGCTTATTGGGCATTTGTATATCTTCTTTGGAGAAAAGTCAAGTCCTCTGTCCATTTTTAAATTGGGTCATTTATTTTTGTTGTTGAGTTGTAAGGGTTCTTTATATATTCTGAATACTAAACTTGTATGGAATATGTGATTTGTAAATATTTTCTCTGTAGAATAGGAGATCCTTGTCACTTTTTCGTTAATGTCCTTTGATATTCAAGAATTTTTAATTTTGATAAAGTTCAAGGTATTTATTTTTTTCTTTTGTTGTTCATGCTTTTGGTGTCATAGGTCACGAGGGTTTATCCTCTAGGTTTTCTTCTAAGAATTTTACGGTTTTCACTCCTATATTTAGGTTACTGATCCATTTTAAGTTAACTTTTGTTTATGGTGTGAGGTAGGGAGCCATCTTCATTCTTTTGCATATGAATATCCAATTGTCCAGGACCATTTGTTGAAGACACTATTCTATTCCCATTGAATGGTCTTGGCACCCTTGTTGAAAATGAATTGATCCTAGATATGTGGGTTTATTTGGACTCTCAATTCTATCCCAGTGGTCTACATGTATATTCTTAGCCCGTCTCGGCCTCCCAAAGTGCTGGGATTACAGGCTTGAGCCACCGCGCCCGGCCCATTGAATGGTCTTGGCACCCTTGTTGAAAATGAATTGATCCTAGATATGTGGGTTTATTTGGACTCTCAATTCTATCCCAGTGGTCTACATGTATATTCTTATGCCAGTACCACATGGTTTTGATTATTGCAGCTTTGTTGTAACTTTTTATTTTTATTTTTTTGGAGATGGAGTATTGCTCTTGTACCCAGGCTGGAATGCAATGGCGCAATCTCAGCTCACTGCAACCTCCATCTCCCAGGTTCAAGCAATTCTCCTGCCTCAGCCTCCAAAGTAGCTGGGATTACAGGTGTGTGCCACCATGCCCAGCTAATTTTTGTATTATTGGTAGAGATGGGGTTTGACCATATTGGCCAGGCTGGTCTCGAACTCTTGACCTCAGGTGATCCACCCACCTCCGTCTCCCAAAGCGTTGGGATTACAGGCATGAGCCACTGCACCCATCATGTAGTAACTTTTGAAATCAGGAGGTTTGAGTGCTTCAACTTTGTTCTTCTTATTTGTTACTGTTTTGGCTAATCATGGCCCCTTGCAATACCATATAGATTTGAACATTGCTTTTCTATTTGTGCAAAAAGGGACATTGGAATTTTGCATTGAATCTGTCAATCACTCTAGGTGACATTAACATTTTAACACCATTGTCTTCCAATTAATGAACATGGGATGTCCTTTTATTTATTTAGGTCATCTCTAAGCAGTGTTTTGTCATTTTCAGTATATAGATTTTTTTACTTCCTTAGTTAAATTTATTCTTGAGTATTTTCTTCTTTTGGATGCTATTATAAATGGAATTATCTTCTTAATTTCCTTTTTGGATTGTTCATTGCTGGTGTATAAAAACAAGTGATTTTTTTGTGCTGATCTTGTGGCCTACAACTTTGCTGAATTTATTTATTAGCTCTAGTAGCTCTTTTGGTGTATTCTTTGGGATTTTCTATATATAGGATCACGCCATCTGCAAATAGAGATAGTTTTACTTCTTCTTTCCCAATTTGGGTACCTTTTTTTTTTTTTTTTTTTCCTGTCTAGAACTTTCAGTACAGTGTTAAATACCAGTAGTGAAAGCAGGCATCTTTGCCTTGTTCCTGATCTTAGGGGGAAAGCATTCAGTCTTTCACCATTGCGTATGATGCTATCTATGTGTGTGCTTGTTTGTTTGTTTTTTAAATATGGAATGCTTCACGAATTTGCATGTCATCCTTGTGCAAAGGACATGCTAATCTTTGTATCATTCCAATTTTAGTATATGTGCTGCTGAAGCAAGCACTTCGGATTTTTAATAAATTTCCTTTATTATGTTGAGGAAGTTACTAGCCTCTGTTACTAGTTTCCTGAGTGTTTTTATAATGAAAGAGTGTCGGATCATGGCAGATGCTTTTTATGCATCAATTGAAATGATCATGGTTTTTTCCCCCCTTTTCTCTATTAATGTGATGTATTATATTGATTACATTAGTGTGTAGATTTCTTTTCCTGTAATGCCCTTATCTGGCTTTGGTATCAGGGTAATACTGGCCTCATGAAATGAGGGAGTGTTCCCTCCTCTTCTGCTTTTTGGAAGAGTTTGAGAATTTGTGTCAATTCTTTAAATTTCTAGTAGAGTACACCAGTGATGCCATCTGGTGGTGGACTTTTCTTCGTTGGGAGGCTTGTGATTAAGGATTCAATCTCTTTGCTTGTTATAGGTCTGTTTAAATTTTCTATTTCTTCTTGAGTCAGTTTTGGTAATTTGTGTTTTTCTAGAAATTTGTCTACCTCATCTAGCTTTCCTATTTGTTGGCATATAATTGTTCATAGTATTATATTCTTTTTTAACTTTTGTAATACTGGTAGTAAGTCCCCAAATTTCATTTGTGATTTTAGTTATTTCTGTCCATCTTCTCTCCTTACTAGTCAATCTAGCTAAAGGTTTGTCAATTATGTTGATATTGTCAAAGAAAAAACCTTTTTATTTCCTTGATTCTCCACTGTTTTTCTCTTTTCTTTATCTCTGCTCTAATCTTACTGTTTCCTTCCTTCTGCTTGCTTTTCTTTCTTTTGCTCGTTTGGTTTGCTCTTTCTCTTGTTTGCTTGTTTGTTTGTTTCTTTTTGGTCGTCTTTCTCTAGTCCATCCGCCCCTCCCTTGCTTCCTTCTTCTTTGTTTTGTTTGCTCTTCTTTCTCTAGTTTCTTCTTTTCTTCTCTCTCTGTTTTTTTTTTTTTTTTTTCTTTTGCTGAGTAGAGTTATCTCTCTTGTTTGCTCTAGGCTGGAGGGCAATGGTGCGGATCTTCAGCTCACGCAACCTGCGGCCACTTGGGTGTTCAAAGCAATTCCTTCCTGGCTGCCAAGCCCCTCCCGGAGAAGCTGGGATTATAGGCACCCGCCACCACGCCAGCTAATTTTCGTATTTTTTCAGAGGACAGAGATTTTCTCTGGGTTTGTCTAGGCTGGTCTCGAACTCCCGACCTCAGGTGATCTGCCACCTCAGCCTCAAGTGCCTGGGATGTACAGGCATGAGCCACTGTGCGCCAGATCTCTTTTGCTTTTATTTGTTATCTATACAGACATGGGTTCTTCACTATGCTGCTAGGCTGGTCTTGCAACTCCTGGGCTCAAGTGATTCCTCCTGCTTTGGGCCCTCCCAAAGTGCTGGGACTAACAAGGCATGTAGCCACTGAGCCTG